AGAAAATTAACTCTATCCCAGCTGAAACCAGGACACACAGTCACACCATAACTATGCAACACGCTTTGGTGTCATTTGGTATTACTGCATCTAGCACATTTAACAATAGCTGAAACCTGATTTGCCAGTTTCACATCAAACCACAAGAAACCACAGCTGAAAGAGGAGCTGTTACCAACAAATTAAATTATGTACGACTCTGTCAGAAATTAGAGTACGGGTACATACACAAGGCTGGAATTATATAAGATTATATTGCTTCCCAACCCAGGTCTTGAAACTACCTCCAGAATCCGAGATTCGAAGTGTGTACCTTAGTATTCAGATACATTGTACTCCAATATTAATGTGGTTTGAATGGCAAATTACAGTTGTGAGATAATTTCGGAAACTGCTAACCTTCTGCTGGTGGCGATTTTCCAGGTGAAAGCAAAACCTAGGTGAATGGGTTCTTTCTCACTATATCCCTCAGGAGCAGTAAACTCCAGACTTCACATGAGAGCCTTGCCATCGCCATTCGTGAACTGATGGCAGTCAGCTGAGTGAGCCCTTCCTCCACCTCACCAGATGTGCAGAATTACATCTTGATTTAAACAATGGGTGAAGCAGAGCCCACTTAAGCTTTCCTTAAGAAAGCTCAGGCAGGCAGCCTCCTACAGAAAGCAGGAGGCGGCAGGCGCTAGTGGTTACCACCCCTCAGCTGAGACAAGAATTTGAGCTGCATGAATATGCTGCCCCTCATTCACTCCACCCTAAACTAAGCTGTTTGATTGCAGGTATCAGCAGAGAAATTTAAAAAGGTGAAGATCCCTGTGCACAGCACAAAAACCTCTGGAGATGTGACAAGTGCTAGCCTCAGTTAAGAAACTTGAGTCCAGAGTCTAACTGTAGTATCACTGAGCCAAAAACTAGGGCTGAGAGCTTTGCCTCAAATGCACGACAGATGCAGAGAAAGTCTTGGGCAAGAAACTGAGAAGCAGTAACCAAAAAAAAAAAAAAAAAAAAAGAAAAAGAAAAAACCCAGCAAGGTTCCTTTTCTTTTGATTGGATCTTACAATGACATTAAGTCATGTGGAGAAGGGAAATAGGGATTGACTGTACCTTTCCTCTTCTCATAAGCAGCTAAGTGTTACCAAATAAAGCTAGTGAGTGGCACACAAAAGGAGACAGCTCTTCCAATAAAATATAGCTACCCTGTAGGTTTCTTTGCTACTAGATGTTATAGTAGGTGAGAATTTGTATTGGATAAATTCAGAGATGATATTCAAGGATACTAACTACCTAAAAATGACCAAATGGCTTAACATTTGCATTTATAACTTCAGACACAGATATTATCATGAAAGCAGAAAGTGTTAAGATGCCAGATCCCTGAGCTCAGAGGATTTTGGATTAAACAGTCTCAGAAGGTGAGCTGCAATGCTTCTATACATCACTGCTTGAGCACTCAAAAGCCAGTGCTTGGAAGAACCACCTTCAACCTGAGAAGAGCCTCAATGCTCATGTTGAAAATGCTGTTAAAAATGTGTGAATTGCAGCACAGATATCTGGAACTGCACTAAGATTACTTCTAAACTGTCAAACTACTATAAGAGGGGAATGCACCTTTTGGTCATATTTACTGTCCCTCTGAACTGACTTCAAACAAGTACCAAGAGAGAAGCTCTATCTCCTACACCCCAGGCTCTTATGCCATCCAACACTCATCATAGTCCACTTTGTCTAATACAAATACACAGTTACTAGCAGCAGGGTTATAGCTCATAAAATGCAAAGCAGAGGGAAATCTCTCAACTTAAAAATTGCTATTATTCTATTTAGTAAATGTACCCATTATTTAATCAGATAGATACTTCACCTTTGTTTTGCTAAATCATACAGAGATGCTGAAAGAGGTAAACTACAGACAGAAATCAAAGCCTCTATATGCCCTGTTCTATGTATCTTCCTATTGCTCGCTGTTACTTTTGGTATGACTTCTATCCTTTTAAACCGTTTTGAGCGTTTGTAAAATCTATAGATATTGCTTTAGTAATCTGAAGCCTCCCTTGCTGCCTTAATTGCCAGTACCTGTTTTACACTTGTGCAAAGGCAACAAGATGAACTGCTGCTTCAATATGAATAATTTTGGAGAGAGTGGTGGCAGTTCATGTCTGAGCTGGGTAGAAGGAGATAACTATATGACGCAGAACCCAGCACAACTGCATCTGCATATAAATAGACTTAATCAGAAATGCAAATTGCAATCAGAAGAAATTTTAAAAGCCTGTGATAACTGTGCAGATAACAAAAGGTCAAACACTTGTACTGCTGAATGTTTTAAACTGTTACCAGTCAGTGGCGATTCTTTCTTTATGAGCAAAATGTGGAAAAGACAAGTATATGCCAGTCCATTGATTACAATGATGGACAAATTATTTCCATATTTCTTCTATTATTACAACTATTCTGTTGTTAAACTATATTTTACACAGTCAATCTCAACTTACTCAGGAAGACTCAACAAAATGAAAACAAAATTAAACCAAAAATGGACAGCATGAAATAATACAGCTAATTTACATGACTACACATAGAGGGAATTTCTATCCCTTTTTCATATCCATGTATGGCAATCCAAATCTTCACATTTTAACATCCTTGGGTAAATGAAAAAAATAAATTATGACTACAGTTTGCTGAAACTGCCAGACTGCTTCATAGCATTGTCAAAATGCCTAAGACTAGGGGAATAACATTTAAAAATGTTATTCAACAGTTACAAATGTTGGCCTCTTCCTCTTTTGAAACAAATGTTTTCATCAATAGTAGCTAAGAAAAGTACTTTTGAAGAGAGGTACCTTGATATTATATGATTTTATATTCTAAGATAAGAATAAAATAAATACGTAAGTCTTTATCATTTCAAGGCATTCTAAATATAAATTATTGTAGAAGTCAGGCTGAAAAAAAAGAAGTCTTTAACATCACAGCTTTTTAATGTCTTTTCCTATGAGAGATTCTTAGGATTTGAAGCACAAACATTTTCCAAAGATTTCATTCTCCTTTGACTAGGCTGCCTTTAAACAAACCAGTGAGTGAAGAGAGCCATCTAGTGCCATACCTCGGAATTTTAAAAAGGGTTTTCACCGGATGCATGTCAAATAAAGGAGGGTCTCCATCCCCCAGTTCAATAGCTGTTATTCCCAAGGACCATACGTCACATCGAGCATCATATGAGTAATCATACTGTTGTTCACAAGCAATGACCTATCAGAAAAAAGCAGAGAAAACAATGCTTTAACCTAATGTACAATTCACACCATTCTAGTGCGACATGAAAGTACTTTTTTGAGTCAAGTCTGAGCTCCTATGTAGCTTTCAAATCCGTATCTTTTCCTGTATATCCCAGTTAGGAAAAACCCCACAAAAATGTAACTGTAAATTAGAACTTCTCTTAGGTTTGTTTTCTTTAAAAACAAACTCCCTCTTTTTTAAAATACATTAAGATCCATGGGATGCTTCAAGTATCTATAAAGAACATCACTACTAAATGCTGGTTTTGAAAGCACTTCTTGCAGAAACCTATTACAATAGCAGAGAACCCTATTGATGTTATTCTTATTAACTTCTATGACTATTCATGAGGATAGACTGATTTGCACAGCTGTTTTTTAGATAAGAATATTCCATCGGTCATTTCTGCCAATTCTTTTCTTTTTTTTTTTTTTTTAGTTTGTCTCTAGTAGATTTGAGTAGTTGAAAAAAATCTTTAACATACCATGTACCTTGTCTAAGAAAACCTGACGTTAACAGGAATCTCTCCTTGGACATCAGAACTGTTTTACATCACAAACTTGATGCACGCTTCCAGCTAACCCACTGTTTTCATTCTAATCATAAACTAACTATTCACATAAGCTAGAAACAATTTTGTATCTAAACATGAGATTCAAACTAACATTTAAATTCAGCTCTTATCTTTGCAAAGGGATAAGACAAAAATCGCAACTTCACTGCCTTTTATTCTATCTTGATTTGGAATCCTGTCTCAAGTTTGTCTTCCCAAATCTCATCAATTAGACCGACTGCTTTGAAAATTTGTCAGATCCCTGCACACTGCTAGCATCGGCTTCCATGATTTTTCTCAGTTTTAAGTATTGTTACTAATTTGTACTCAAGATAAACAGAACTTCTGACAGCATGTCCTAGGGTGGCTGTATCTATGTTCTATAAGATTGATTTTTTTTTTTTTTTTTACTTCTATATTACTTCTGAGTTCTTATGTTCAGGCTTCAGTTTGGGACAATGCTTTGCAGAGATGCCAACATGCAAGCCAGCATCCCACATAACTGCTGGCAGAGATCCACTCACAGCCTGCTGTAAGAAAACCTTTCCTGAAGAAGCTGCTGATTCCAGGTTAACCTCTTGGTTACTTTCCCCATAAGTTGCACCTAACAGAGGTGTTCCTACCTCTGGTAGAGATTCTATACAACAGGCCCACAGCACCTGTCCATCTCTTACCCTAAGACTCATGACCCCATCATACAGCACTCATCATGTATTTTATCAGAAATCAGGGGGTGTTGCACATACTAGTTAAAATAATACCAAAATATTTTGAGGTTTTTTTGGCAGCAAAGTTGGACATTAATTAATTCCTTTGCTATATACTAATAGTTCAGTTCTTTTCTAGAGCAAATCAGTCCAGAAAAACTAAGAGCTCTCCTGAATTTTCTACCAGTCTTTTGACAAGTGTTGAGATCTCTCTCTTCCTCCTCAATTTTTCCAGGTCAGTATGCCAAAGAAATTTCTTTTTATACCCTACTGACAGTGGTAGTTCCACTATTACTGCTGTAATGTCAAAGAATCTTCTGATAGAGTATTAGACCAGTATTTCTCAGTTATTGTCTGAGGAACACTGGTGATCTGTAAGACATGATAAAGTGGTCAGCAAAAAGTCTGCAAACCATCTGAGAAAAACATACATACACATTCCCCTACACATCAACTGTCAAATAAACAGAATGGGGAAAAAATAAAGTAAGCACTGCAAAAGAGGGTTCAGGGATTTTTTTCTTCAACTTGAAGACGCAGAGTTTTGTTAGCTAATGCAGTGTTCTTCAAACTTGTCACACAAAGATCATTTTCCCATCTCCCTTCTCTTGAACAGAATGTCTTAAGTGAAAGCTCTGAAATATTTCTTAGTTCTTCAAAAAGTTCATTATAGCCTTGATCTCATCCCAGAGATCCCTCTATCTCTTGAAAAAGATGAGTTTTACTGTGCAGTAGATAAATTCCACGCAACTCAAGCAGAGCGCTTCAAACCACCACGTTTATTTCAGAGGCCTATATGATAATTTCATTTCCTTATACCATGCCTTAGAGAGAAGGAAAGAAATCAAATTTGGTGTAAAAACTTGTAAGAAAGTCAGTGTGGAGATCCATCAGAGATACTTAAATAATATATTCTAAAGAGGCCACACTTGGTGTTGGCTGGAGTTTCCTTCATTGCAGTTTTGCTCAGAGATTGAAAGGGAAGCTCGTATTTCTTGATTATTTTTGTTTCTTTATACAGTTCCCCAAATAATCTGTATACTCAAGGACACTTCCTCCAAAAAAAAAAAAAAAAAAAAAAAAAAATCATGCCAGCCAGCTTCCAAGACTGTGACTCAGAAGTTGCAAGTAGCTTATCCATATGTGACTAATTAAATGCATTGTGTCCTCCTTCCTTTTTTAACACATGAAAAATATTTAGCTATCTGCTTGGTTAAAAAGCTGCGAGAGCCCATCTCCTGGAAGTGATTACCTCAGATGTTGCCTGCTTCTCATCAGTGTGCCGAGTCCTTTGCAAATACTTGTCTATTTGTTCTCAAACTTTATGATGCAGAGGAATGTATTTTTATTTTCAAGGGAAGGAAAAGAAGGACCTGCTCAAGGTGACACTGAACTTCGTCAGCAGTGCCACAAACATAGCTGGCCTCCCACATTCAAAGACACCACCACTCCTTCCTCTATAAGCATATCGCAATTGCTTCTAACTACAAGCCAATGGCAAAACTTGCTATGTATCTCAGTCTTAGAAACTTCAGCAAGCTACACTAAAATAATATGAGCATCAGAGGGCTTTGCACTCATAATGGATGGGAAAAGAAAGTATACTGCAACTGCTGTTTTAAAAAAGAAAAGAAGTCTTTGAGCTTTTCTCAGCTTCACAATGTATTACCTACCAAACAAAGAGAAAGGAATGTATAACACATCTTTGTATGTCTTATGCTCCACAGCTAACAGCTACACCTCCAATAAATACAGTACATGGCAGCAAAATTACACTATGGCAAAATACTGGGACTCTAACCAAGGGGAATTAAACACTATCAGATTCTCCTCCATTCTAATATCAGAGCTTGCAGTGATTCTTTCAGAAAAATATTCCCCTTAATCTGTATTCTCTTTGTTTACAAAAATTCAGCCAGTGGACCACACAACGCAGTATGTTTTAGACAGTTAGCTTGACTATAGTAAGATCAGCCCCACAGAAAACATACAAAATGAGCTGATCTTCTGACACCGAGTATGTAGCACATATATGAATTTAATGATCACTTTGGTTTGAAACAATTTTTCAATTTCTGTGGGATTTATTCTTAGAATCTTACCAACTTATGCACCCCTTAGAGAAACACAAATGCCACTAATTTTAATCTTTAAAGCAAGAATCAAATTTTACAGCTTTTTCCTTGACTAAAGGTGTACATCAGCAGTTTGCTTTACATGTTGGCTAGCAGACAACACTCTATCTTGAAACCTGAAGAAGAAAGAGTTCTCTCAGTCACAGTTTACAAGCTAAGTCCTTGGGAATGCCCCAGTCCCGTTTTGCCTTGAAAACTATTGCAACTCCCTGCAGACCAAAATCTCTAAAGGCCAAATACAAAAAGGAAAAATGCCACTGACTTATCTTTTATTATGTTCCTGGCTCTATTAGGAACTCAGAGATACTTATTTTTTGGAAACACCTGTCCTTTTCAGTCGGCGTGCTGGAGCTGAGAGTGCCTCTCGGCACTGCTGATGCCTGCTCTGCCCAGTGGGGCATGAATACAGAGCCCAGAAGAAATGATCTGAAACTGAAGAAAATGCTACTTCCTTCCTCTGCCTTATGCAAAGACGTCATCACATCTGTACCCATTTTATATCCAGCAAAATCCTCTCCTGCTTGTACAAGCAAAAAAGAAGAGGTAGTTTGCTTTGCTGAACACACTACGTTCATGCCGAAGCTTCAGGGGGTGATGTAGTTAATCTTGAGATTTGCCAGTAAACACCATGGGAATAAGCACCAAGTCTTGCACTTCGGCATGGGCTGGTTACGTGCACACAGTGACCCAGGTTGCTAAGGAGACAGGCTGTCACCTTTTGTATTAGTTGTAATTTTATCCTGATTTCATGCCCAGCCATACTGCCATAGGACAAAAGCACCTAAACACCACACAGAGAAACAGACAATGTGATGGTAGTTGTCAACACTAATTGTGCTGAGGGTCACACTGGGACAGGGTGAGGTGGGGGAGAATTCACTGGTCTGGCAAAGACAGCACATAAACAAATCAGTCACATTAACTGGAGGGAATTTAGAGAAGTTAGTGATTAGGCATTCTGTGTGATTTATCACTTCTACAGAAACACAGAGTTACACAAGATGATTCACACCCTGACAAGAAGACTAGAAATTCAAGGATATAATTCTACTTGTTCTGAAATCAATGCAAAGGTTTCTTTGAACTTCAGCAAGCCCATAAGTGGATCACAGGTAGATTTAGAAGAAGGAAAACAGGTAATATGGAGAACTAGCTGTTATTTGTACAGTGGTCATGCTGACTTGTGGGCAGAGAAGCTATACATATGTTTAGCTGAAGCAAGCTACATCAAACCCTTTTAAGTTTACCCAGATTTATTAGAAGTGGACATACTTTCATTTTGCCTCAGAACATAAAGTGCACGTACAAAGTATAGCTGCAAGTATACACAATACGGGTAATAGCAGTACAGATGTGCTACCTGGAGACGACTGCTACACAATTAGTGCTGGTGACCCACCCGCAGAAAGGAATCTGGAGTTAAAAAGGTTGATGCTCCTGAAGAAAGGTGGTGCTGTAGTCAGCTGACGTAGCAAACTAAGCAGCTTATGAGGTGTGCGAGCACAACGCTGAAAAGCACTGCGTATGTAAAATGAATGTAGCACAAAATTGTTACCCTTGCTGCAAGGAGAACAAAAT